TCCCCTCCCGGCCATCCCGGGCCTGAGCGGTCCCGTTTCTCCCCGAACCGGTGCAGAAGATGGGAGTGAACTTCACGGTGAGCAACAAGGACACGGTGAAGAGCAGCGATGTCCTCTTCCTGGCCGTAAAGCCACCCATCATCCCGTTCATCCTGGAGGAGGTGGGCCCCGACATCGAGCCCCGGCACATCGTGGTGTCCTGCGCGGCCGGAGTCACCATCAGCTCCATCGAGAAGGTGAGCGGGGACCCGGCACGGCCCTGAGCTGGCTCCGCTCCTCTGACCCCGAGGAGCCCATGCCACGGACTCGTGCTACTCAGGACTAAAGTCACACAGCAGCAGCCAACCTGTGTTCATCGGCAAATGCTGTTAGAGGCTTCATCCAGCTCTTGTCTCACATGAGGTGCTGTCCAGTCATGTTTATTTTAACAGCAGTGGGTCATCTCCCCTGAATTTCTGCAGATTTTATGCTAAGTGTCTGCAGGAGCTGTTTTGGAGATCTGCGGGTTGATGTGGGATTGAGGCCTTTGGGATGCTGTTTCCAACTCAGCTTTGCCCAGCTCCTGCTTTGCTGGTGCTGAGCAAGGCTTCACATTCACGGATGGGCTGCTGTGGCTCAAAGCAGGACATTTGAGATACAGGGGTCTCTCTTTTCCTTCTGCTTGTATTGTTCTTGCCCCTGGGGGGTCCTTTCCTGAACAACCCGTTGATGAAACATATGCACTAAAGCTCATTTTTCTCCCTTCTTTCTTTTTTTCTTACTTTCTATCTTCACTGGTTTTCTGCCGTAAGAAACTCTCTACCTTCTGCCCCGCACCAAAAGTGATCAGGTGCATGACCAACACCCCTGTGATAGTCCGGGAAGGTGCTACGGTCTATGCCACTGGCACTCATGCGGATGTGGAAGATGGGAAGCTGTTGGAGCAGCTGATGGCCAGCGTGGGCTTCTGCACCGAGGTGGAAGAGGACCTCATCGATGCTGTAACGGGGCTCAGTGGCAGTGGCCCTGCGTATGTATGTGCTGCTGTTTCCTCAGCTAGTGCCATCCTAGGGAGAGCAGTTGCCTTTGCCTGCCATAAACTCTGTGCAACTTCAGCTTGTGTTTTTTTTTTTTATTTTTCCCATCACCCATATTTGCAATGGGACATGTATTCCAGGTGTCCAGCTGGGACAGCAGGACAATTTTTTAAGAGTCAGATGAGTCTGAAGTCCATAGCCAGTGTGCAGTGCCTGCATGTCCATGTTGCAAAACTTGGGCCTGTAGTTGCATGATCAGAAGCTGAATTTCTGCCGTTCCCCCCACCCCTGAGCTGGAAGTGGTGGGAGGGAAGCCTGGCATGGCATCCATGAAGGAAAGGGGGAGGCTTTTGTCACGTCTGTGAGTGAAAGGAGTCACAGAACAGTCCTGAGGCCCTGGATTCTCTCTTCCCTAAGCCTTACCAGTCTTTCAGTGCCCTTCTTTCCTTCTGTTCTCAGGCATTCACTGCCCTGGATGCTCTTGCAGACGGAGGAGTGAAGATGGGCCTTCCCCGCAGGCTGGCGGTTCGGCTGGGAGCGCAGGCTCTGCTGGTCAGTGTTACCTGCTGCACAGCACATCGAGCCTGTGCTGCCCTTTGCAGAGCAATCTGCACCTCTCAGTTTGAGGTGGTCGTGGTGCTCTGGCAGAATCTGCTTTAAGGAATGTGTTTGGTTGGAATGCACACAGTTCCTGGCGAGGGGCTGTAGGAAGAGTCTGCAGCAATCTGCTGCTGCTGGTGGGGTGGGAGCTGGGCCCTGGGGAACTCTGCTGCTTTGAGGCCTCATCAGCTCTGAATAGTGTTTTGGCGGCCTGCAGGAGCCCAGGTGTGCCTGTTGTGAGTGTTGGTGCTGCTCTTGCAGTGGAGAACAGGAGGGTAAGACAGTGGAGAACAGGAGGGTAAGACAGTGGCTTACCCTCCTCAGTCAGCCTCTGGCACGTGTTTTCCTTGCTACAGGGTGCTGCCAAGATGCTGTTGGAATCTGAGCAGCATCCGGGTCAGCTGAAGGACAACGTCTGCTCGCCCGGGGGAGCCACCATCCACGCCCTGCACTTCCTGGAGAGTGGTGGCTTTCGCTCTCTCCTCATCAACGCTGTGGAGGCTTCCTGCATCCGCACAAGGTGGGCGCCTAGGAGCTAAAGAGCTTGCAAGACTTGTACCCCCACCCTCCCCATCTTATTTTTCCTATGTCTTCCTCTCCCACTACCCCACTGTAGGGAGCTGCAGCATTTGGCAGACCAAGAGAAGATTTCCCCGGCAGCCATAAAGAAAACATTGCTGGACAAGGTGAAGCTGGACTCTTCTTCTCTGTCTGTGGCATCTGCTAGCAAAGTCAGTCTGTTCACCAGCAAGAGCAAGAAGAACTGACCAGACTGCTGCGTTCTGGCAGTGCTGAATGTCAGTGTCCTGGCTGCAGCCAGGACTGGGTTAATCTTTGCATTAGCCAGGAATGGCATGGCCGGGACCCTGGTTATTCTGTAGATGTGGGCAAAGGGGAGGGGAGGGTTTGCAGCAGGGGAGAGGGGCTGAAGAGGGGTGGCGAGAAGGGGTCCCTGTGCCTGGGTGCATCAGGTGAGCAGTGGGAGCAGCATCATGTTACATGTGGTGAGCAATCGTGGGAATCCTTCCCCTCTCTTCTACACTCTTCTTAATATTGTCGCTGTTATTATTTGTTTTCTTATCTCATTACTGCTTACAGTAAATTGTTCTTGTAGCAAACCATGTTCTCTACCTTTTGTGCCTCCAGTTCTCCTCTCCAGCCCACCACAGAGGGAGAGGGACAAGAGGGCAGTGAGTGAGCAGCATGTGGTTTTAAGTATTTCAGTGGGAACGCTAATACAGGGAATGCCATTCCTAAGCCACAACTGTTAGTGTTCTCTGTGTTATTTCTGTTTGTCCATGGGAAAACGCTCAGTCAGCATGCCGGTGTCCCCTGTAGCAGGCTTGTGGCTTGCAGCAGCTGTAGCAGAGGGTGATGCAAAATGCAAGGGAGCGTTGTGGAAAGAGTTCCCACTTGGCTGAAAAGTGGGATGTGGAATGAATGGATGCCTGAGCTTGAACCCCTGTGCGGGGAGATGTTGGGGATGCCCCTGGGTCCTCCCAGAGAGACAGAGCTACAGGTGAACTTCCTAGATGGTTATAGGCCCGTAGCTGTAACGGCAGCAGATGGAGCCCAGCCCATCAGGGGCTGCCACAGCCCCGCAGGGCTGGCGCTCACATCCCCTGTGCGCGGAGCAGAGAGCGGCGGTNGGATTGCTCAGGCACAGCCTGAGCCAGAGGACACTGCTCTGGCTTCACTCGAGTCTCTTCCACGACTTGGTCTAAAACCTCAGACCAGTTAGCTCAGCAATGCTATATGTGTTATCTGACATGCACAGACAGCTGGGGATTATTGGGATTTATAAACAGCACTTTGAGAATTGCTCTGTGGCAGTAGCCTGGGACAAAGCAGCAGTCTGGTTCTACCTCTTCTAAAGTGTCACCTCCCCCTTTGTGTGAGCTCTGTCACTCCCTTCTCTGCTGAAATGGAGCCTGATTCAGGGCAGGGGGCTGGGTGCTTGTGTCACCTGCATGTTCACAGAGATGCTGAGTGGGACGGGCCAGAATAGAGTCTAGGCAAAATAATAGAAGGCTCAAGAATGGAGTGCTGTGTAGCAAAGTGGGAAGTACCAAGGATGAAAAAGAGTTCTGGAGGGATTCCATAATCATAAAATTGGAGAAAGCTGACACTAGAAGTAATAATGAGAGCTGAAACGTAGAAGAGAGAGAGAAAACGGATCAAGAGGTTTCCCTGTGTTCAAGGAACAGCTATGCTGGAAAACTGGGAGTGAATGAAAAAGCAGTGATGGCTGGACTTTGTGTTGGTTGCCTGTGTCTGGTTGTCCTGGGCTGGCTGTGGCTGTGTCTGTGCACAGGAGCTGTGCCAGCCCCCCATCAGCCCTGCTGTTCTCTCTGTGACAGGCAGCTTCGATCCCAGACTACAGAGGCCCCAATGGCATTTGGACCCTGCTGCAGAAGGGCAGGACCATCAGGTGAGGAGCCAAATTCCCTGAAAGCTGATACTGGAAGAGGTTAATGGCAATTCCAACTTTTTTTTCCCCCCTTGCTTCTTATCAGGGCTGCAGACCTGAGTGAGGCAGAGCCCACACTCACTCATATGAGCATTGCCTGTCTGCACAAGCACAACCTGGTAAGATATTTTTACCTCACCTCACTTGTGTTCCTCTGCCTAAAAATGATAAACCCAGCAGGGAATAGTCAGAGAATATTGCCTGACTGCATTTTTGGCTCAAGTGGCTGCATATCCATGTAGGAAAACATGTCCAAGCCTTCCTCAGTCAGCTGCAGGCTCCGGCTCTGGCAGTTTCCCCCAGTGCCTTTTCTTTAACATGCTGTATTTGTCCCTGGTGAGGCTGGTCTGGGGAGCTGGTCACAAATCAGCCAGCCCTAAAAATGTTCATTTTAGCAGGAGGAGGTTTCTGTTTAGCTTTCACAAAGGTCTGTTCACCAGGCTCTTCCCCTGTGGGTCCTGCCCTGATGTACAGGCTGTTGGTGTGGTTTGGGACACGTGCGTCACTGCTTGGAGGGATCCCTGTGTGGTTTGCAGGAGCTCAGTGTTGAGTTCCCTGCAAGGTGCAGCACGTGGATCCCTGTGTGGTTTGCTCAGGGTTGTGTTCCCTTCAAGGTGCAGCACGTGGTGTCTCAGAACTGTGACGGGCTGCACCTGCGGAGCGGGCTGCCCCGAGCTGCAATATCTGAGCTGCACGGGAACATGTACATAGAGGTGAGTGGCCAGAGCAGGAAGAGTCAACGTTAAGTGGCCTCACAAAAAGAGAACGTAAACTCTTGATCTTCCACTAGCTCAGAAGGAATCAGTACAAGGGCTTGGCCTGTGTGCAGTTCCTGCCTTCAGACCCTTGGGTTTGGGGTGAACTGCCTAGGAAATGCCAAACACAGCTCTGTAGCTCTTCCTCTGTACATACTGGAACCTTTTGATTCTGGCACCTCTTCCTCAGCCCTTCTCTGAAATCCCTCCCAGCATGTAGCCAAAGGCTGCCTGTGGCTGGTTTTCAAAAAAACCTTGAGGTTTTCCAAGTTAGCATCTGATCCCTGATGTTTCTGTCTACAACTTCTGCGTTGTGCCCAAAAAATGCTTTTCTTCCAAGAGAAGAGGCTTGCTCCTGGCCTGGAGTGGGTGTGATGCTGATGGTGTGACGGGGTTTCTGCTTTCGTCCTGCGCCAGGTCTGCACGTCCTGCACACCCAACAGAGAGTACGTGCGAGTGTTTGATGTGACGGAGCGCACGGCCCTGCACAGGCACCACACGGGCAGGATGTGCCACAAGTGTGGGGCACAGTTGAGAGATACAATCGTCCACTTTGGGGAGAAGGGGACATTGAGACAGCCCCTGAACTGGGAAGCAGCAACAGAAGCTGCGAGCAAAGCAGATGTGATTCTTTGTCTGGGTTCCAGCTTAAAGGTAACTTTAGAGACTCGGTGAAGATTGTTAGCAGCATTCCCTCTTGGTGATACACCTTGGTGCTGAGCAGTCTCCTCCCAAACAGACAACTGTAAACTCTGGTGTCAGGATTCGCCCAACATCTGTGATAGTCTCTCTTCCTCCCTCTTTCCCCTCCTGGTAATACATTCCTTTTCCTCTCGCTGATACGGTTCACGGCTGCGTGTGCCTGTGGCTGTGCTGATCCGCTGTGCTTTGTGGCAGGTTTTGAAAAAATACCCACGGCTGTGGTGCATGAGCAAGCCCCCCACACGGCGGCCCAAGCTGTATATTGTGAACCTGCAGGTGANCTGCTCTGCCCGCTGCAGCAGGGACACCGCCGTGTTTACATGGGCTCGGGGCAGGGTTCTGCACCAGCAGCTGGAGAAGGGCCCGTGCTGGATCATGCGTGCTGCTGTCAGCTCCCCGTGTGCTGCCGCTGAGCTGAGGGGAGAATTGGCTGTGCTTGTGCTGAGTTCAGGCCTTTTGAGCTCTGGGGAAATGTGTTGAGGCTGCAGTTTCTTCATTGCAGCCACAGTGTTTGGCACTTTTCAGTGTGATCTTTCTTCAGGAAGCTATCAAAAGCTGATCCGTCAGCAGTCTGGAGAGTAAGGCAAAGTTTGGTCTCTGCTATGTAACCCATTCTCTGGGTGTCCTGTTTGTGAGCTGCCAAACAGCCCGGTTAAAACGGGACCCAGGAAACTCTTTGGGTTGTTCTTTCCGTTCTACTGGCTGCTGCTCCTTGGAAAGGTGGGATCACCAGGTTTTTGGGGCCACTCGTGTGGCAGCTCTGATGGCTGTTGAGAGAGGCTCCTGCCTGGGAGGTGTTGCGTTAGAGTGCGCAGAGGCAGGAATGAGCAGTAGCTGCCTCTGCTGTGTGCAGCTCTGCCAGCAGTTCCCCAGCCTGCCGAGGAGCATCTTCCCAGTGCCCTGCCTGCTGCAGCATGCGTGTGCCCCGTTTGTTTCAGTTTGGGTCTGCTGTAATGAAGGCAGCCTGTGTTTACAGGTAGCTGTAAATTCTGTAGTGCCGCAGGGCAGGCAAATTCCTGTGTCCCACTGCCCATACCTGCCCTTGACTCCTTCCACTTGCAGGAGGATGGGGCACAGAAGTGCTGCAGGGGCAGGCACATTGGTCTCTCCAGCTATTCCCTTTCCTCTCCCCTTTTCCCAGCAGACATGTTGTTTGCCAGGTAGGAACAGAAGGAATAAGCAGCAATCTGGGAAGGAGGATTTTGTGCAGCAGTTGCTTGCATGCTGCCTGTCCTGCCTCACTGCAGCTGCCTTCCTGGGGCAGCAGATGACCGTGGCTATGCCAGTGTGGCTGGGGGCAGCAGACATCTTGTTGGAAGGAGCATTGTCCTCTAGGTATGTATAAATAGCCTGGCTCCTGGCAGGCTGCAGGCTTCAGGAATATCTCTGCTGGTGTTCTGGGGACTGCTGGTCCTGTTCACCTCCCGTCGGTCGTAGATGCACTGGAGGGAGCCTGTGCCACAGCTGCTGAAAGAGCACTAAGCCCTATTTGCTGATGTGTGCATTTGGTTCTGGTCTGCAACTGGACATGAGTCCTGCTGGGAGCAAGGCAGGGGCAGACAAAATTGTTGTTTAACACCTGCAAGATGAAAGGGGCAGAGGCACCTGGAGGCTGTGCAGGAATGCTGGCCAGGGCTGCGTGGGTGCCGTGTGGGCTGTTTGAGGCACAGCCATGTCTGTCAGGGAGTATCTGTGTGCATCAATTCCTTGGGCAGCGTAGTAGCAATCTGAAAACCCTGAGGGGAGGAGATACGTGGGGAAGGAAGCAGGAGCCTGGGAATAAGTCTCTGTAAAGCAGGCCTGGGAATTGCTCTTACCAGTTCTGAAGTCTTGTTTTCCATGGCAGGGAAGGAGTCTGCTCTGCTCTGGTTTTCAGCACCTTAAATCTTTGTTTTCTTGTGAGCACACCTTGGCTCTTAAGATAAGGAGGAAGAAGGTGTTTCTGGGCTCTGGCATGCCAGGGATGGACAGGTGCCTTCTCACAGAAAAGACCTACAACTGGGGTCACTTTTGTATGACTGGGAGAGGTGAAGGCTGCTGAGGCATCAGCCCAAATTTGTGATGGAATTCCAGTGTACCCTTGCTCAGGGTTATGTCTTATTGAGCCATCCTTGGCAGCATCTGGAGTCTGGTAGGAGTGGGGAGCTCCTGGGCTGTGCTTGGGCACCTGTTGGAGGGCCGTGTGAGGTGAGCTGCCCTGCTTGGCAGTGACAAGGACGAGGCTGGGAGCGAGTGGTGCAGAGTGCCAGCCTGCTGAGTCAGCATGACTGGCCTGGAGCAGCCATGCTCTGGACCCTGCCTGCTGCTTGCAAGGCTATTTTTAAAAATGTGGCTTCCAAGTCTTCTGACTCCTCCTAGTTCTTTAATTTCCCACACCATAAACAAAAGCAGCATTGCCACAGAGTCTCCGTGGGAGCAGAGGTGTGTAAGGGCAGCAGGTTCTGCTTAGGGACACTCTGCTTATTGTGAGTCCAGCCCAGCTGGCTGCTTGCTGATTGTCTTCCACGGCAGGGACCAGGATGTGGAGCACCCTGTGGCAGGGGCCGGGATGTGGAGCCCCCCATAGCAGGGACCAGGATGTGGAGCACCCCGGGGCAGGGGCCGGGATGTGGAGCACCCCATAGCAGGGGCCGGGATGTGGAGCACCCTGTGGCAGGGGCCGGGATGTGGAGCACCCCGTGTTAGGGGCCGGGATGTGGAGCACCCCGGGGCGTTGCTGCTGGACCCTGCCAGAGGAATGCCGTGGGCTCTGCAGTGTCCCAGGTGCTAATGTGACCTTCCTTCCCTTGCAGAACCCAGCTGCCAAGGCTGTCGTGTTATGACGACCCCCAACAAAGGAAACAAGGCCTTGAAGGTAACGTGGCGGGGGAGGAACGGGGCGCGGGATGGGCGTGGGCATCACCTCGGGCTTCACAGGTGCGTGCTGCCTCTCCCCCAGGTGAAGAGGGAGCCGGGCGAGAATGGGACCAGCCTGACAGATGAGGAGCTGGTGACCATGTCTGTGCGCGAGCTGAACCAGCACCTGCGGGGCCTGTCCAAGGAGGAGATCATCCAGCTGAAGCAGCGCCGGCGCACGCTCAAGAACCGCGGCTACGCGGCCAGCTGCAGAGTGAAGCGTGTCACCCAGAAGGAGGAACTGGAGAAGCAGAAGGCAGAGCTGCAGCAAGAAGTGGAGAAGCTGGCCTCAGAGAACGCCAGCATGAAAATGGAACTTGATGCTCTCCGCTCCAAATACGAGGCCCTGCAGAACTTCGCCAGAACCGTGGCCCGGAGCCCCGTGACCCCTGCACGGGGGCCTCTCACCTCCAGTATGGGGCCCCTCGTCCCTGGCAAGGTGGCTACCACCAGTGTCATCACAATAGTGAAATCCAAAACGGACGCCCGGTCTTAGTGAAGCGAGCGTTGCCTGAGCTTGTCTGTGCAGGGCAGTTAGGCACAAAACCAGCCTGGAATCCCCAAAGCACAAGCCCTCCCCACATGGGTCCGGGTTCCTTTGACTTGGCCCAGGACTGGCCTGCTGATCGCTCCAGTTTATTTTGTTGTGTCCAGATTGGTATGAGCAGTGGTGATGCATCCCTTGTCCTGTGCAGACAGAGCTTCCCACCCAGCAGTCTGTAGCCCTCGGATGCCCTGGGGACAGGCTGTGAGATTTTGGTTTTCTACCCAAAGAAAATCTGTGCAGCATGGCTGAGAGAAGGATGGAGGAGTGGCCCAAGGAAAGCTTTCTTCCTGGGGGCTGGGAACCCTTATTTTCAGTTACTTCCAAAGGCTTTATTCCATGACTCTTCCAGGTGGTGCATCTCAGCGCCTGAACCTGCTGCTTTTGTCTCCTTTGGTACCTGTAGTTACAGTTGGAGTGTTCTGTGTCCTAGGTTTTATTCCTTTCTAGGTGTGCCTCTGTGCCCTAGCCGTGGGTGTCCCTCGGGCCGTGCCGTTGGCTGTGTGAGCTGGCAGTGCTGGGGGACGGCGCTGCCGCTTTCGGAGCCCCCGCAGGGAGGGAGGGAGGGAGGAAGGAAGGAAGGAAGGAGGGAGGCAGCAGCAGGACTGTGTGGACTGCAGGCCGGTTTTGTGCCTAATGTGTTGCACTGAACAAGACCAAAATCACTAGTTGTTCCCGTGTTTCGAGGGTATCAAGTGTCTCTAGTGTGATGGTTTACACAACCAGTTTATGTGGTTAAATAGCCCTTTATTTAAAGAGAGAAACATCATTTTAAGAATTATTAAATTATCTAAGTTTAAAATTGGACAGAAGAGAGAGCGTATTTATAGTCAGCTTTTTTACCTGAGAAGGCGAGAATATTTGACCATATGAGTGGGGAAATATTCTCAGAGACTTTGCTAGTTAAAAGTTAATAAATAAATAATTTTAAAGTTTCTCATGAACCTCCCGCAAACTGTTTGTGGCTCTGAGGTTAGTTTTTATAAAGAGTTATCAGACTTTATTTATAAAACTTAGAAAAAGACAAAAAAAGAGGCAAGTCCTGTTTGATATCTTTTTGCAATTGTACCAAAAGTGACTTATTCTTGACCTGGCTAGTTTCTGTGGTGTCCCCTGGTGTTGGGCGCTCTCTCCCGAGCTCTCGTGCGGCGCTGTGGTGTGCTGGTGCCTTTGCCATGTGCTGTCATTTCACACTGTTGTCGTTTTCCCTAAACTCGACTGAGAGGGTGAGTTGGAATCTCTCTGGATTCCTCCAGAAGGGTTCTGGTGCACAGGCGAAGGCGCTGCTGCTGTTTTTGGAGGCAGGAACGGCTGGCTGGTGCAGCGAGGCCTGCCCCGAGGAGCTCCTGCTCAGCAGCCAGTGCCAGGCTAGCTCGGTTGTCTGGGGAGGAAATCGCTGCGCTCTTGTTGTGCAGCAAACCTGTCAGAGAAGTACCGTGAGGGTCCAGGCGTAGGGGAACACTGATGGGATTGAGCTCTGGAGTTAGATCCTGTGGTCAGAACTTGTGTTGTGCTCACCTCAACAAGAGGGGCAGCGTGGGACAGGCTAGTCCTGGTGTCTGCACATTGCTGGCCAGCGAGCTGTGGCAGCCTCTCCAGGGCTTTAGGAGAGGGCTCAGACTCACAGCTGGGAATCTGTCTGTGGCCAGGCTCTGTTTCCACAAACACTTTGACTTCCCTCTCCCCTTCCCAAAGATCTGAGCTGATTTACTGAGTTTTAGAGAAGCAGGGCATGAGGGGGAAGCCCGTGTGGTCTCCTGGCTGCTGAAGATCTGAGTGGAGGGGGCAGACTGGGGAAGCACGAGTGAAGCCACAGTCTGGTGGTGAGGTACAGCTGTCCTGGATGGGTTTTGGGGGTGTTTCTGAGTGCTGAACTGATACTGCTGTCCCCTGAGCAGAGGGGCAGGCAGCCTGAGAACAGCTGCAGTGTGGCTGCAGTGTGGAGAGGAGCCGGTAGCTGATGGGGATTTCCTGCTGGAGATCAGCTTTGCTCTGATTGATAGGGAGTTTAGGGAGTTGTTTGGGATGCTTTTCCAAGTAAACTTCCCAAAGGAGGAGCAGGTTAGAACATTGCCTCCACACGTCCCCCTTCTGGCCCTGGACTTTCTCTTCTCTGAAGTGTCTGGTGTGCAACTTCCAGCCATTCACCACAGCCCACACACTGCGCAGCACTCAGCAGGCTCTGGTCTTCCAGCTGGTTGTGTGGTGACTGGGACAAGTGAGATTTTACAGAACACAGAGGCGTCCAGTTGTCTTGGGGTCCCTCTTAGAGCCAGGCTGAGACTGAGCCAGGCAGAGCCCTTGGGACACAGCTGAGTCCTGATGTGGGCCAGCGCAGCGGGCAGGGTGCGGATGGGGCTGGCCAGGCTCTGGGTTCCACAGCTGGAGCCTCTGGTGTGAGGAGAGCCCGGAAGGGCGGCAGGCAAGGATGGGCAGCCCTGCAGCCGCGGAGAGCTTGGGTTTGGTGGTGC